GAATCCCAGTAAAAAGGAAAAATATCTCATGACAGAGGTACATAAACACAAACATAGGATAGTTACCGAAACTATGAGAGCGTCGAGGCAATTCCACACTGAAGTGAAGTATTTTACAAAACCAAACCCAATAACTTTCAGGAAAAACTCGATGCTAAATATCACAGCAAAAAGGAAGTTCAAAGTGTTAAGTATCTTCTCCAGCTGAGGTTTCTCGTGGAGGTGAATATCTTCAAACACCTAGAAGAACGACACTTTTATTRTATTTCCATATATGGAAAAGAGTTACCAGATAAGGAAATATACTATTCACGTGGTGCCTTCAAATCTTACCAGTACAAAGCTGCTTATCATGACRGCAAACAAWATAAACCATTCAAARTAACGGTGCTCCACAAAACATCGCACTCGRCAACGAAACTTGAGCCAACAGAARTGCTGTCCGGARGGACACGAGCARACCATACAGCATTGTGGGAAGCAATCGTCTATCTCGATAATGTATCTCTTGGGACTGGGATTTCTGTGACCTTCTGTTGAACTACTGCTGGATGAACAGTTCTCTGAACCACAACGAGAAATCCTATCGACTGAAAGATGACAAAATTAACTTAACTTGAAATCGATTCCTTAGCAAAGTGCACTAAAATGGCTTTGAAAAGATGGCTTTTACTAGCTTAAATCAGTCCTCAAAGTCTGGAATCTTTTCAGTCTTTACTTGACTGGCTCCCAACAAGAGSATATTCAAATAGCTTCCATGTTTGACTTACTTTTTTGTCCTTTCGGAGCGACATCAGAATATCTTTCTTGTAGTGGTGATCCTATACCGTGTTCAGTCGCTCGACTGCTTTCCAATACCTTYACCTGATACAGCTTGTATCGTTCACGAAATGTTGCAACATACATGCGGGTCTTTTTGGTTTCCATGAGATGACGACACGTACACARCTGTTTTCGTTGCTTCTTCTCGGCTTCTTTTTGTTGGGACTCTTCTTCTTTGATGGCGAAGGAATTGAGGAGAAGCGCGACGAAGAGGTTYARAACCTGAAAAGTAATAAAMATTTCTGATTTACACTTGCTTTTTTCATTGCTGYRATCTGGGCTCGAGTATKGACATTAGTTTGACAATAGAGTGTGGGGAAACAGGCTTGGAATACAAATATTTAGTMATGAGCTGAATTTGCTAAAGATGTTGTTTATTTCTAGAAAAGAACGCGGATAAGCATAAAAACKGCATATATTTGTACTTAAATTAAAAGGATTTGTTACTTACGATAAAGTTCCCKACGATCAGACAAGGTAAAAAGAAAAACAAAGCMACAGGACTTGTCACTTTCATGCAGTCCCACAATGGCTCCACCCATTCGCTGCATAATATTCGAAATACCATCATGAACGAGTGAGCAAAGTCCTTSAGATTCCATCGTGGAACTCCTTCAGGACCAAAGTTCTCTGGGGTGTACGCTGGTCCAAAAATTCTCATGCCCATGACAGCAAAGACGTAAATAATCACGCCAAGGATACAAGTGATGTTGAGGATTGGGTCGACACTGTGTGCGATRGCTCGGATTAGCTTTGCCATTGTCTCCCASGATTGACCGAGGTACAAAATRCGTAACTGAGAATTAGAAAGACACCGAKTGTTATGGTCACTATAAATCGTTCTTATAATAGAATGATAAAGGATTATAGCTTTGGTAATGACAGTGGCAATGGTGAACCAATTCATATTGATAATATAATATTGATTAATATTGATTAATACTGGATGACAAACATGACGATAAAATCAACACCAGATGATCCAGTCGTCCTTTCACTAATTAAGCAAAAATACAGTAAAAAAAACTGTGTAAAAAAAAAGTGTAAAGCACTTTGCTCTATTTACAACAAACTAGTGCTGACTAAACAATAGAAACAACAGACTTGGCTTAGTATCATTATTTAGCGGTATGATACACACTTTTGCTGTTTGTATGTTGCCAAGCAATACTAATCAAATTAGTTACCAGTCTTAGTATTCTGAACATGCTGATTCCCGATGCATTGTGGTGGAAGTAAGCTACTACACTCGAGAGGATGATAACACCATCGAACAGATTCCACTTATTACAGATGTACTTATAGAACCCTGTGACAGCRATCTTGACCAACATCTCCAGCAGAAATATCCCAGTGAACACCTGTAACGAATCGTGGATTGTTATTGTAAAATCTCTGATCTTATTCAGTGAAGCACAGGAATTTGAGCAAGAATATCGTGTTGTACTCACAGCATTTAACGTATCGAGTACAAAGACCAGTTGGTCACCCATTCCATGGTAATACATGCTAAGAACCACTGTATTCAACAATATAAGACCCGTAACTATCCCATCAAACAACGGGCGCTCAACAAACTTTGACAATTCCAAGTACAGCTTTTTAAATTTGGTGTTGGGTTCACAAATATTACGACTGTCGTCATCTGTATCCTCGCCCTCTGATTGGTCGTTATCTTCGTCGTCACTGTCGTATTCCGGGGGGTACAGGTGACTTTCTAAGGGCTCGATGCGTTGAATGGTGTCCAGGTCAGCGGCGTACGATGCTGCAGTTTTCTTGTTCTGTTTTCTTATGGCTTCCTTTGTTGGTGGTTTGAAGAACAGTGATTTAATAATAAGTCATGTCACGTGACTAAGTATTATGCGTAAAATTAGACAACGAGAATTGAAGCTGAAGGGGGAATTTAGAAGACGTATTGAAATTGAAAGCTGTGATCTTAGAATTTAGAATCGGAACAATGGCTGGAAACGTCGCTCGTGATTTTGACACTGAAAAGAATGAGCTTTGATTTCAAAATGAGGAATTTTACGAAGAGTTTTAGAGATTATGCTCTCAGTTCAGAATGAAAAGCAGAGAATTTCGTTTCGTTTTGTTTCGTCGGAAACTTACAGACGGTTTTTTATTACCAATCTTGCCTGCTGGGTTCACCTGGTTTTAAGATAAAATCATTTATAAACAACTAACGTACACCAACAGCAGCAGTTTGAAATACTATAACATATTATGGACGGCTACCACGATCGGTGTTGGAAGAAACCAGTGAAACTTAAAAAGCGTTATATAAGAAACATTTACTGACATTTAAATGTTAATCCTTCGCTTCGAACTCGAATGAGGAGCCCAAAACAAAGCATATTGGAGTCGTTACACTTAACCCGTGATGAGTTGTAAAGAAATAAATCGTGCTTTGGTTGTTTTCTTTCAGTTTTAAACACCAAGTTTACGTCGCGTTCCGTGGGTAAAGTGTAACAACAACAGTTATTATCCTCATGTGCACAATGGAAATATAAAAGGAATCCATCTTAAATATAAAAGGTTGTCTCACCTCATTTTCGCTAGACATCATCTCATGATGATAGGACATGTAGACGACAGCGAGAACCAGGTTGAGAAGGTAGAATGAACACGAGAAGATACCAACGATAAAGTACATGACATACCACGCTCCCATTGAACGTAAACACTGCAAAGAAACAAGTGATTTAGAGCTCCTTTCTTATCATAGTAGATAGAAATAGCTCTATTGCACTGACCCTGTCGTAAAGGTTTTCCCAGAAGTCCATTGTTAGGATCTGGAATCCCATGACCATCGCCCATCCTATGTTATCAAAGTTGGTGTAGCCGTGATCGGGGTTGGGTCCTGCACCTCCCATACACGTATAATTACCGGGACATTGACTGCAAAAACAACGTAACTGTCAGAATAGATGAAAAATTAAATAARTRGATGAACGARTGARTGGTTGAATAAGAGTGAGAAACTTTTTTACCCGGCATTTGACGAGTTTCCACAGAGAAGTGGCTCATTTTCTTCTTTGTAATACCAATTACCTGTAATAAGTTGAGAGTTTTAAATCATATTTTGAACAGGAGATGCTAGATAGGAAAATTATGACGACAATTAGAGAAGAATAAAAGAATTTACGAGAGGTTGAACTCTGGCCGTCACAATCTTATTATAGGTCATACTTCAAATAAACAAGCTCAAAAAATATAGATATTTTTGCGACCATTTATTCGGACTGGTAATTCTACAAAAAATACCAGAAATAGTGTTCTGTTCTGATTTTTTATTTACGTTAAATGACTAGACCTGATAGAGCAATGATATCTCCAGTAAGTTTGCCCACTCAATATTGGAAGGTAGCATTCCTTTGCATCGAGACGGTCGGTGAGCCTGCACTTCCGCACCTACAAATAGCTATTCTCTGACGTCTATCATTGCCAGCTCACCGGTTATCTCACTTCGATGCAAAGGTGCCGTTCAATCGTTCAAAATGACACGGGAAACCCTTTGTCTACCTACTTGCATTGTTGATATACACTGCAAATGCCAAAGAAGTGTTCGGTAGGGGAGTCCTCACGCATTTGTGTCTTAATTCGCCCGAGAAAAGCTGCATTCCAATCAAAGCCAAGACACATARCGAGAACATGAATAACACTAGTACGTCGCTGAGTAGTTTGAGAGATCGTAGTAGACTATTSACCATTGTTCTCAGTCCTTTTAACGCTGATATCGTTCGAAACGCTCGTAASACYCGCAATGTACGAATACCGGAAAAACTTGCGATGTTTGGTGCTATTGATAAATAACTGAAAACGAACAACAATAGTAGTTAATTGCATGCTTTATTTCTCATTCATTTGGTCATCCATTTATTTCATTCATTTGTTTGTTTATCCCGCATTCATTTTATTCATTCATTTTCTGGTAAAATCAAAGTCCAATAGCTGTGCTGACTGCCTGGAAATACCTGGTGCTGTAGACTTCATGCATTATCTATTTCATTCCTTTTCATTTCATCCATTCATTTCTCATTAATAGTCTTCTTCACGTTTCCCTGCGCCATCTTGAGAGGTAGTCGTGCCTTTGCATCGAAGCGAGACGACGGTTGAGCGCGCAATGAGAGAAACCTTCTTTCACACTTACARACAATCATTCACAGGTATCTATCATTGCACGCTCAATGGTTGTCTCGCTTTGATGTAAAAGCACGGCCGCCTTTCAAGATGGCGCAYGTAACCGTGAAGGAGGCTATTATTCATCGGCCACCCTCACTAGATCCCACCTTCWAAACGTACCTTAAGAAAACTACAACAAAATCGAGCCAGTTCCACGAGTCTCGTAGATAAGCATACGAATGRAGAATAAATCCACGAGATATTATTTTTAACAGCATTTCAAACGTATAAATTCCAGTAAAAAAATATCTGCAAAGAGAGCGCGAAATGGTTAGACTTGCTATGTTGTGTAATATTGATCATTTTCAATCATGAATAGACATATACGGACTTGTTGGTTAAATATACCATGATGGGCGCTGTGATGTATAGTGCAAATGTATACAGATATTTATTGAATATTATCTATAAAAAAAATCATATAAAAAATACTTACTCCGCATCTTCTGGTGGGTCATTTAAAGCTAATATGATACAATTGATGAATATAACAAACATTACAAATATTTCAAAACATCTGAGAGCAATGAGTCAAGGTTATTTCAATCTCGCATTTAAATGCAATGATTATTATTAGATTATTATTAGAAGTGTCGACTTCGGTATTGAATTAAGCACGTGTTAGATTCGACGTTTAAGACGTTTTGTCTGTTTTCAGGCTKTCAAAGGATACGGGTGTGTYACWACACGTATTGCATAAATGCGAATTGGATTTACTGGACCTAGACAATACAATGACGYGGCTAAGTTATACCGGTAGGCCTGGTAAGTAGAGGAGGTAAGTCTTTTACTCAATACGATATATGTATCTTGCGATGGGATCTGTTGAAAGAAAAAYATAATGTCAAWTAGTGTTGATAAAWRTTTAAAGAATGARAATTGTCGAGAAAAATTCGCGTCAACATGAATATGGTTTTTATTAACAATCTGATGGTAACACTCTCTTTGCTAAAGAGCGCTCTTTATTTCACCGGTTAACACAAGTACAAACCAAGCAAATTATTATATCAAATGTCTTCATTTTAATAAAAACAATATTGACTGGATATTGTCATAATTACCCAGAGTACCTTTCGATCGTCAATCGGGCGGATAATTTTTTCTTTTTTTAAAATAGCTGTGCTCACCACGGAAACTCGACACTTACTCCTTGGATGTTGTCTTGCGGTCAGAAAATAGGCCAAAAACGGTAAAAAACGCGTTTTATAATGTTATTTATTAACGTTATTTCTGTAGTCGGCCGTCTTTTCCACAACCCCCYGMGGCTAATGTATTGAGTTTGTATTYTTTTTCAGTACCTAGTGTCGAGCATTGCACATTTTTTTAACTTATAAGTACAATGTAGATTTTTGCTTGAGTGCTTTTTATTAAAAAAGAAAGCTTACTTACCGTTCTAATCCTTCAAAAGATAAGAAAACAAAGGCAGATTTTTTTGAATAGCGTCTTGAAAAAATGCCTTTAGCTATTGATTACTCTTCAAATGTTTCTATCATTAGCCAAATTTTACCGATCATCAAAAGGTAACTGAAATATTATTGAAACTAAAATGAAAAAGGAAWCCAGGCAAAAAATGATCAGCACGCTTTGTGTTCGTGAACTGGCCCAAAATAGAAAGAATCAATTGATATATACTGTATTCAAAAACCACAACGATCAAGGTTGATGTATATCTACTTGTGTTACCACTGAGAATCATATTGAGAAATAAATGGAAATTATAGTTTAACAAGGCACCGCTAAATACCAACAGAAATTGACATTACTTTTTTACATTTTGCACCAGGAAAGATTTCATCCTAAGGCAAAAGCGAATACTTTAAACCTATCTGGTTATTTCAGGAAGATACATATTCGTTATGTTACAATGTTGATGATAATATTCATGTTTTTACTGGCTAAATGTTCTTAACAGGGTGTGTTCTCTATAAACAGAATAGTTACGTAGAGATGTGTTGGCGTTTTATTGTATTTTGAAGACGACATTTCAAATGTTTATTTCATTTGACTGTGAATATTTTATCAGACACCAAAACCRCTTCTTTGTTTGTAAGTTCAGAGTCGTGTTYTATCGCTCTATTGTTACTCTAAAAGACAGCTATCTTTTTAACATACTCTGGAATCTGATAGAGGAGTTTGGTAATACCGGTGTACAAACGCCCCAGTTTAACTGAATGCATATCAACTTAAAAACCTTGAGTTTGCGGTTCAAAATGCTTAATAGACTACTTTGAGCACTAAGTATTCCAATAAAGATGTAGTAAAACAATATACTTATAAAAAACACAAGAAATGCATTTTGAGTTTTTGATGTTGTTAAACCGTTATGATCCTTTGATCATTGATGTGATATCGTAAATATTCTTATCACCGCCCACACTATCATCTCTAGAAAGGATWACCTATATTAAGAACTCAAAGGACWTTCAGATTGTCAAAATCAACCATTTTTTTATAAACACACTCACATCGTGATCWGTAGCGTCGTAGTCGGCAAGTGGTCGTCCTAAAGCATACGACGGCACCTTCTTTCTGACTGGTCGCTTTTCTTGTACGTCCTCCCCATCGCTGATCTCGTGGTGAATTTCGTTAAGAGCAAAAGTCACCCTCTTTGTTCTTCCTTCTTTCGAAGTTACTTCGTCTTCATCTTCATCCTTGGGCATCTTCGCCCGTAACTTTGGAAAAGAAGCGAGATATAATTTTTTTAGAGGGTGATGGACGAGCATGAGTGTCAGTTTGTGGTTGAAAAAGTTTAAATTTTGTCAGCGTCGTCCTTCGCAGTAGCAAGTTTAATCAAATAATGTTGGYGTGACACAATGAACGTTGCGTTATGGAGTTTTTTTCTTCAGATGATTGCGCTTGGTGCTTTGTTTAAAGCATGAATTTTTGATTATTTTTGAGAGTCATTGGCACAAGTCACGATGTTTTATCAATGTATAATATATCGCTTTTGCATAACAGTAGTGCCTATTGTATACTAAAAAACGTCAAATGTAACTTTCGTGTCGTTTTATCCCTTCATATCAATATTACCTGGTGCGACCCATAACTTTATCATAACTTAACTTATAAATCTATGCTTTCTCTTAAACGAGATATTTAACAAAAATATTATAATTTGTCTACACCCAGTATTTGACAATACAGAAAAACTAAAAATTTCCAAGGAGTTTACAGCGCAAGCACGAGCGAAGTTTTGAGCGGACTTCAAAACATTGTTCAAAACGCGCGACGCAATTTGCATATTGCGTCGCACAGTTTGACTTCAATTACTATAAAAGAGAATTTTTTATTATCGTAATCGTTTTTATATGTCAGTAAGTCAAATCAGATTTGCWAGCGAACTAGAAGATGTAAACTCGACGGTTTAAACGGTGAGTTTTTGAATTTTGTTTAGTTTTTAAGCTGTTTTTGTATTGTCTATTATTATTCCAATGTAAGTGTTTTTATTACSCTGCGGTAGCGGGTGTATTTTTCTGTGAATTAACGGACAATATTATCGGTTACAATGACGGATCACGTGCTGTGCTGTTAGCGTGTGAGGTCACGACAAGATAGCACACTATGACGTCACATTACGTTAAGATTTTCTTAGAAAAACGTGTGCAAAAATCCCGAAATGAAGTGAAGTGCAGATGGCATTTATTTTTCATTTAAGTAAAATTTTAATCCCGCGTTTGAAAGAATAAAAGTCTTTGTGGAACACGAGAATCAAGTAAGACTGCAGGACCGTGCCTCAGACTCGAGTTGACAAGGAGAAATTCTTGTATACATTTTATACGCAGACCTGCCGATGGACGGAATATGAATGCCAATTGCACAGACATTCCCCATGGTACAAATCTACTTTAGGGCATTCGACCTTAGAAGCTTGTCCATTTTCAAACGTATTGCAAATACACCTGCTGACAAACAGACACCGCTGATCGTCCTGTAGACAGACCCGCTCAGAACCCCTTTATGGTCCGATGGACAGACTCCGTGACCATAGTTAAGTATTGGTCTGACAGACCTCCATTACACGCACATCACATAAAACAAGTTTTTAAAGTTAAGATTGATGCATCGACTGATAGACAGACAGACTTATATTTCCAAGTAAAGGAGCTTAGACAGACCTAAATATCAGACCGCTGACCCCATAGAACACTTGAAGGACATTGAGGTCATGCAGACAGGACTGAAAGCACTCCTATTATCGATGACGGTTTGACAGTAAGACTTTTAATTAACAGTACTCAGTTGTATAATCAGCAAACAGGTTGTTCTTGACTTAAAACGATATTGGATTATATGTTATAGTCACTACCAATCTCACAACACACTTCCTCTACAATTACGACTGGTTTTCACAGAGGGAGGAATATTGAAGGTACAGGAAAAAGAAAATAGCCCGGAGGAATTAATGCCATTATCCAGGAGGAAAGCAAGATCACCCTAATGTTGGACAGGCGTTTTGACTGGTCAGTTTCCCTTCCTCTACTCCACTGGGTCTCAAAAACAAATGAAAACTTAAATATGGCATATCTGCAAACCAACAGAACTTGAATTATTGATCCCCATGAAAGCCAAAATATCCAAAGACTCTACGGCGCTGAAAGCAATAACTTCTCGAGATATTGATTTCATAAAATTCGACTTTGCTCTSTGACTTTTGTTATATTGAAATGTTTTTCGTGTGCAAACACAGCTGACGAACGCCGACAAGTTAATACAGGAATATATTTCTATATCAATGGTAGAGTTCTGTATGCATGATTTTAACTTGTTCGCCGCGCGGTCAGCCTGGCTCACCCTATGTGCAACTGCTATGATGATTTGAAAACCACATATTCACTATTGGTATTTATCGTCAAAATGAAAAGAAATGGTTGTTATTTAGTGTTACTTAATAACCGAGATAAGTACAGCACCGTAATAGATGACAGACAATAAAGAAATATTTTAAACTGGTGAATAGATAGGAAAAATATATAGAATCAGATATCAAGAAAATGCTGTCGGTTACTCACCGGGCTTTGAGCAATGATTGATGTGAAATTCCCCCTGTTCAACATCTAAAAAACGAACACTTGATTAGAATAATAAAATCAATAAAGAAATCCTTATTAGTGGGATCAAAGCGTTTAAATAAGGATATACCTTGGTGACGGAGCCATAGAACACAACCCGCCGTCTTTCCCAGACGGTAATTCCAGTTTAAAACCGCCGTGTTGTCCAAAAGCTTATTTAATGAACTATTTGGAGATTTTAGCCTTAAACCATGTCAAACTTGACTTCAGTTTTGATTGGAGTGGCTTATAACCCCATCGTAGTGATCCAGGGGAGTGAACTCTTACAGGAAATATCATCAATCAACAAGTAAACAAAACCAAAAACGGCTTAAGGAAATACAGCAATATAAACAAACACTACTCGTTACTAGTCCCCTTAGTACACTAAAACCCAAAATGTTTACTTACCCTCCCCTCCCTGTATATTATTGCATATTATTCTGGTATTGTAAAGCTATAAAGTCAAGGAATATTTTTTTAATGATATAAACGTGGCTTGATAGAAAGTCATTTTAACAGTGTTTTTAGCGGGTTTTGAATTATTCAACGAATGCAAACTACCCTGAGCATTATTAGACACAATAAAGTGTGTTTTATCGTTATTCTCCTTCAAGCATTGCTCTGCTGTACAGTTTTTTACTCGTTTTCTTTCTATGTTAAATGGATGGCGATGTTAAGTTGCTATAGTTTCAAGAATTCACAACGGTCACCTTGACAAGTGTTATAACAATTATTTCAGGCATATTGACTTAATGGCGTGATCACGTGATCAGCCTTTCTCAGTATTACATTTCCTTTGCTATTAAAGTACGTAGATTAGTGGAAATTATCCATGTAAGACGAGCTCAAAAAAACAACTTAAAAATCGATATTATTAAAGTTGCATAGATTCCGTATTGGCGAAAATATTTTCCCAAAAATGTCAATTAATAAACTCATTTGGCTGAGACGCGTGACCTAGTATTTTCATCAAACTTATTTACTTCTTTTGAGTTTGGAATGTTATTGAATTCATTTTATAGTCGACACGTTTTCGATAGTCAATACAGCCCAAGGCAATACTCTCTTACCGAGATCACCGTTATACATCTTTCAACAGGTACATTGACGGACTTTTAGACCAGTATTTCTACCGATAAAAAACACATATTTACTGCCTTATACTGGCTTCAATTAATGTTTTTGTTTTCGTATTTAATAGTAAAACCAATACAGCACTGGAAATGAGGCGGTAATGGACGCTAACAGTTTTTGACGCCATTTCTGAATTGTAAATGAAATATACTGCACATAACTTGWAATTACTCAGTAGCTAAAGTATTTTAGTTGGATCAAACTTACAACTCAATCTAAACTCAAAAGTACTTGTAATGAATGTATACAAAGTTTATTTTTTTTAAATTTCCAAAGCGTAATAGACTCTAAACCTTGAGTCAAAATGTAGTCATTTAAAAAACATCTTCAAATTAACTTTAGATAACGTGTCTGAGTTTCTTACTTACAGATTACCAGCTGAGTATGTCTGCTGATTGGTAACCTTGACTTCCATGTTATGTTAAATTGTTTCGTCTAAAAACTCATTTTTCATAACCATGATCTCTTTGCGCAACAATTGGACAGGAATTTTTAGCTCGTTTATAATTGTTTATGAGCCGAATGCATGTCGYTTGGTCGTGTTACAGCATTCAAATTATCAACACTGGGGTATGCACCTGTTTGCTGACTGTCAATTCAAGCTTACTGGCTGACTTTTAACTTGTTTGTCGACATGGTGTTTAATTGGTCGATATACTAATAATGACTTTTATAATTTAAAACAGTACGTTCAACACCACAGGAGTGTTTAATGTATTAAAATTCTTCTTGTTCAGGGCTATACACTTAGTTGTTAGTACTTTGAGTCTGTTGTTTCCTTTATCAAAAAATATTAACTAAGCTCGTTTTTAGTCTCCTTCGCCGGCAGGGACAGGATGCCCAACAGGACGCTCGTTTTACAATCTACAATTATGCGGTAGATCCACTCTCTCACTCTCTCAAAGAAACACAAGTATCAAGGCTCGAATTTACTGTTTTGTGTCATACTGGATCAATTGCTGTTGTTTTTCGGTGAAAATACATCATATAACTAGCTTTAGGTATTATTTTTAGACTATGAGACACGCCTAATAGCAGTTCACGGAAGTTATTCTTACTTCACTTCCGGCCCTGAATGTAGCATAATTCCAGGTAAATTCACTGAACAGTCTATATCATTGGGAAATATATTTTCATTTTTATGTTATTACATAACATGTTTACAGCACTGAGATCAAAAACTCACAAAGAACATAATCTAGTCTAATTAATTAATAACGGTTATTTTTGGAAATTCAATCACGTGATAATCTTTTTACCGCCAAAATACTATCGATTCAGCATTTTTCGCTTTCCCTTTCTTATTATCGTTATCTTAAACAAATCTAAAAAAATAAATAGTTTGATTGATGTGGTATGTTTGTGGTTATTTTATGTTTTAACAAGCGAAGCATTTTTGCAATTTTCTTTGTTTTGTGCAAGAATTGAAGGTCTTAAAATAGCTCGTTAAATGACAGYTTCTTGGATCAGTATAGCATAAAGTGATTTATAAACCAATTAGCACGAATCTTTGAAGATTGTAAACCTTGTAAAGTCGTACTTAAAAAATTAAAAACCTTACATATTCCAACAATGATACGTGTAGAACTGAACAGCTAGTTTAACTCTTTTATTGTGTTCAAAACAATTAGAAACAAAAAAATCGCTTGCTTGCCTACAATTGTATTAACATGAATATTCAATTTACCCAGATATTGCCTTTTGAAATGTTATGGTTTATTCAGTTTTAGGATTTCAGTGCATAGGAAAGTCACAATTCGGTTCGAAAGATAAAAGCTGGCTATTAGTGGTCAATTGAAACAGTGGTCATTTCATATAACATCTCGTGTTATGACAATACTGATGCTATTAATAATTACTCGAGCAATACTTTCTCGTGTCACCAAATTCGCGAAAACAAATAACAATTTTGCTCGTATTTTCTATTTCTTTAGCGAGAAGTTAATTCTTTTTAGAAAAATTCTTTCTTTTTTGTGATTTTAAACTTGTTTTGTGTGTCTGTTGTTGATGTGGGTCATCAGTTGACATTGACAACCAAAAGTGCTTTAGCTAAACCACTTGCTTGTCAAGTGGGTCATAAAGATTCGAAAAAAGTTTCAACTTGTACTCAAATGGCAACTTGGACTACAGCTATCTTTGCATTTCTTTTCCACTACCTCTCAAAGTATTACTATTTTATTTTTTATTAACTCAAATACCTGAATAGGATCTAAAATCTACATCAGGTTGAAAAAAGAGGAAAATTGAAATATACCATGATATAAATAAAGTTTTCCGCATTGAAATTATTGATGTGTTATGGAAGCTTTACTCATGATGTAACTAGACCTTGATGGAAGAGCATGTGAGGTAGTTGCCAACTAAAGAAGGCATTTTTAACCATTAAAGCGAGCCTGCGGGCATGTTTAACAAAACAATTCGAAGTTTATAYCCCTGTTTTTACCTAACCGTTAACTTGTTGAATGCTAATTTGGCCTCTCAAAGACAAAATATCCCTAAAGTAGGTTACACTTGGCTTGGTATGTCCGCATAGTTTCATAAAAGCGCAAATGGTTTAGWTTTGGAAGTATGTTTTACCTAAACGGCCGCAAAACCTTGGTATGTGTTCAAGTTTTTGTGGTTGCTTGTGTTGTAGTTTAAGTACAGGTAAAATAAGGCAACAGTCAGGACATTTACGATATATCAGATCGTTATTACAATCCCAATAAAATAGAATGTCAATGATAAACAGCAGTGTTTACTAGCAATAACCAGCAAGCGATAATTTTTTTGATCTCTTTTTTATAATCAAATATCAGTGCTTGTGATTCAGAGAATGTTCTTAGAATGTTTTCTTTGAATCTATGGACATTATATTCATTCCTACCTTGAATTTTTTRTCGTAACCAAGAGTCACGATGGTGTCACTATTTGTTCTCCAAGTGCCCTGTCAATCCATGTAACATTCGCAAAATGACACAGTTTGGAAGCTCAAATCTCTTAGCGGGGTTTCTGTACTTAAACTCGAGATGTACTAAGCGGAGACTCAATTACAAGTGTTGTGAAGTATGACCAAGATGCCTCGCTTAGAATAACCCGCACAGACTTCCGGTAATTRYATTAGGTAACTAACGTTGCTTCCTAATCGTGCGCCTTGTTGTGTGCATGTATTAGGGTTGTGTAGCATGCGTCTAGTATTGGTGGAAAACAGGTATTGATACAGTATATTGTAGCAGGTGGCAATCAAGACTGTTAGAGTTCCTTATCGCTATATTTTAACCAAATCAACTCAATTTAATCTAAAAAGTCAGTACTCTTTTAAAGACGATTTTCAAAGATTCTCATTTAAAATTTGGTGAAAAGATTTGAAATGTAAAAGTTTGAAACAGGTGGTTGAAATGGATCCGGTGTGAAAGGAACGCCTGGCACTTTTCTGTCAAAACAAACATGGCTGCTAAAATGTTTTGGCGTATCTATCTTTTTTTTTTTTTTGCTTTAGGTTCAATCCAAAAGGAAGATTATATTAGTAGTAATTTGTTATTATTAGTGCTAAATTCATTTAATCGATTCCACAGACAAAACATCACGTTAGTATGTTTAACATAAGTTGGTGTTCCTTGACATTGAAACTGACAGTGACCCTGTCGAATGCAAACAAATTATACACTATCAATTTATATTTAGGTAGTACTGCTTTAAATCGATGTAAAATCTATAGCCTATTTCTTAGTTTGTTTTTCAGCTAAAGAAATATCAAGAAAAATCGTAAAATTATTGATATTAGTATTATTGTTATTGTTATTATTATTATTATTATTATTATTATTATTATTATTATTTTATTATTATTATTAGAATCATCATCAAATTATTATTTTCAATACTTCCGCATATTATGCGTTTCAACCTCGTTACATTACGTTACCGTGTTTGCGGATAAACATAAATTTTAAAAATTCGAATTCTTTCAATTTTCACCTTTTAATCCAGCCTTACAAAAAAGGATCAAATAAAATTACTTATCACAATGTTTTATGAAACTTCTTCCAAGAATTAAACGATATCAAACATTTCTTATGTTTCCTTGAGTATCTATCGCTAACAAATTTAAATTAAAGCCGRCCAGAAATTGCAATAATGTTGATTATCGTCAATCAACAATGAAAGCAATGAAATTAAAAACTTTAATTGGAGGTCGACAATGACTTATCGGAAACCAATTTCAAAAACAGCACTATTTCTCTCTCTTCTAAAAGAAAAACATGCAAATCATTTTGGTCTTTTTAGTTGAGAAAACAACGCAGTGTGCGCGTTTTTCGTATTTCCTACAATATTATATAGTTGCAATTTATTCACCTTCTTAAAACCGAAAAAAAAAACTTTTAGCATTTGCGTGCATCATTAAAGACAAACTTTGAACGATAGTTTCCCCCCTTATTTAAAAAAACATTACATGCATAAAAGAATCCATAGCACTTCTTTCCGAACCTTGCGTTGTGAATTCAGGGCTACAAATTGTAATAAATAAAAGCCAGCAAAGCTGTTAGTATTACTGTACTTTCTTCTCTAGAGAGTATTTTGGTTTACCTTGGAATACAACAATGTGCTCGACATTTTCCTCTTGGATTTTGATATCGTTACAGAATCCTCAAATAGAATTGTTTCTGTTCTTGGCAATTGTGGTTCCATATTACTGTTACAACGACCATTTGTCAAATGTTAGACATGGAGCTAGCGATTAATAATCTTCACTAGGAAATCACCAATAAAAAGAAAAATATTCATACATTTTGTAGTATAACTTTGCAATTTCTTTCAACCGCAATCATTAGGTCAATTACATTTTTTTTAGTTTTCAAAGTAGACTTGCAAGTGGTGACCGATTGTCATCAACATAGGACTCCTATCGTGTTTCGCAGCCAGGAACGACGGCTGTGTTTCAGTATGTTTTAGCTAAATCGTTATCATAAAAGATTAATCAAGCACTTAGCAGTTTCACACATGCATTGGACTTACTATTAGCTTTATATAATGGTTGAAAAATACTTGAAAAACAAAACGAATACAGAGATTATGCAGCAGATATATAGCTTACGAAGAAATTTGTTCCTTCAAACACTTATTATTGGCTACAGCAAGGCAACAAAGACCGAAGTCTATAGTACAGAAAATATCCCTATTATATACTTTTATTGATATGGCCAAATCTTGTGCAAGTACTTATTTACTGGCAAACTAGAAGCTTAGAAAGCGACGTTTCTTGTATGAGATCAAAGCAAAATCGTCGCTTAACCTAAATAGCTTAAATAGCCTCTAAAAGATCACGTCCCTTACGATTTATGATTGAAAATGAAGAAAATAAAATGCTCATATCAATGGCTTCTTATTAATAATGTAACACTGTCCATTGACTTTAAAAACACTACTTATTAACGTCATCAGCACGACATATTCAAACAATAATGAATCTTTTCGAGGTGACAGTCTGTATTGAGTTTAGTTGCTATAGAAACTTGACTGACAGACGTTTTGTGCAATAATAAGAAGATTTCGTTTCTGTCTCTCAAACATGTCAGTTGTTCTCTTATTTATCTTCACTAGCTCCGTTAAGCAAGTTAAACAGTGCACGATTCTCTTATTAAATCAATTCTTTATCGATATAGTGTTTGGGATGTTTGGAGCGATGGAGTCTAGTTTCACAGGCGTTTTATTAGAGCACCTTTTAAATGTTTTTTTTGGGGGGGTTTGAAGTTTCGATAAATTATATATACATGGCAGTTAATCCAAAGAATTGCACGTAAGGTAATCGAGATTTATTTTTTTCCCATACCAACTGAGAGAGATTGGACACTTAGGAGAAAAGCACTGCGCATGCGTGTAGGGTGTTGAAAATAAGGTAAGGAACTTTAGGCAGTATTTTCTTAACTTTTGCGATTTTATGCACTGAACTCAAAAAATCCCTAATTATATCGCGTCTTCCGAGTGTGCGCAGTGCGTTTTTTCCCTAGAGGCAAGGCTACATTTAAATATGGCGGCTTCTAATGACGTCATGTCTTACCGGTGGAGAGGGGCGGTCGCTTGTCTTCAACAATAGCATGGTTGAAAACACCTTTCAATTCTGTTAAAAATACATGAATACAAGGAAACATTTTTTCGATGCGATAAAAATTATTTCGTTTAAATTTTGTCATATGTTCCATTTCAGTTTCGCTTTTTTGTCAGTTGTTTTTTTCGTTGGAGTTTTCAAGTTTCAAGTAAATGGCGTCAGTATCATTACTTTCGCTTCTTGCACTTTTTACCGAGTCGCTTGTTTGTCAAACTGTCAGCTTTTTTTAATAGACTTTTGATGCTTTTACGTCACCTACTTGATTTGCAGTGCATTGTGGGATACGCTTGTGAAAAAAAAAGAAATCCGCCATGTTTTGTTCCAATCAAATCCTGCATTACATTGCATATACGGTGTATGACGTAAAAGCTTCAAAAAGTCTATTGAGTGATCTTTAGTTGTTCTGATGACGTCATGTAACTACGTCATGTGTCAATCATGTTGATATTATCCTATCATTTGATAGGTTGATCTCATGCGGAAATGAAGTCACTTCACCGGTGTATAAGAACTGGTAAAAGGACATCAAAGTATAGTTGGACGAACAGGAATTGACTTCATCGTTAGTAAATTCAGGTAAGAAACCAATTTTATTTGTAATACTTTTTTGGAATATGCTGTCAATCTTTTTTCTTATAGGAATCGTTGCTTCTCACGGATAAAACACTAAGATAAAAAGCTTTTATTTTTACACTCATCTTTTTTTTTTAGCCTTGTTATTGTTCAAATAAGAATAACTCTGTATCTGAATAAATTAAAACATGCGCAGCTCATAATATGGCGATTTTTTAAGCAAATTTTAGGATTTCCCAAGACCTGTGTCGTAGAATATCTCCAAAATATACAAATTTAGTTATTTTCTATATTTTAAAACTGGCCTCGGGTTTTTCACACCGAAGTGTACATTTGCCAGGTGCTATATAGCAATATTACTTTCCCTTGATTCCGTGCCGGCTGGCACAGTTTTTAAATCGGTCATGTCAACTGTAATAAATGAAAGCTCTTTAGAAACTTCTTGTCTATTGAAATCTTTTAGGTCTTTGCACGGGAAAAGTGCAAAAAATTATGTTGATATTTCCGACTACTTTATATTTGTTGCGACGTTTGTTTTGCTCTTTGTATTTGTGTTTTCAGAGACAATGTTCTCGCAGTTATCACTCACCTTTATAAACCAATACGTACTGTTATGTAAAACTCCAATGTAAAATGCGAAAACATATTCAACTGCTCGCCTTTTCAGAGGTACTTTCCACAAAGAAGGTTGAATGTTTCTGAAGTCATTTGATAAAATCACCTGCGTTACTCAAAATGCTTTTTTTTTGCTTCATCTGTATTTTTTGCGACCTTCATCTGTTTAGCAGCCCCTAATTAGAGTTACTTTTTTAATAATCTGGGTTTTCAAAGACTTTTAATTCGTGAGCGTGAAGGAAAGTCATTTGCGGCGGACAGGTGGGTTTACCACATTTAATGCTATTTTTATTTTATTTATCACAAAAACTTGCACAGAATTACTGTTTGGTTACCTCTGCAGTTCTGAGTCGATCAATGATTTACGGTTAGTTCTGTCAAGGAGATTTTTAGTTGTAGTATTAAAAAAAACCTTGATTTTGGCGGCTTATAACCTCGGGGCTCGGTTAAGAGCTATCCTGCATTTCAGATTCAATAATATTGACAATATTAGACTGTCGATTCTCTACTTGATACCGACTGATTTTTACTCGTAATGATGAAAAACTTTGTCATAATTTATAGCTTTATTTCAGTTGTTTTGTTCTGGTTGAAGCGTTTCTTTACAATGAATCCACGGGCGGAAATTCTTATTGATCAAATCATTGTCCAAAGTGGCTACTTCTCATGGGATTCATATTTACATAAAAAAAGTAGTGAGGTGTTAAGAGCTGTTCATTTTTTCTGCCAGAATTGTCCTCTTCAATGTGTCAGTATATTAGTGTATTTGGCTGTGGTCTGTATACTTTCATCCAATCGTAATGAAGAGCCAACAAGACCGTATTCACTATGTTAAGAGTAAAAAAAACTGGTCTTCACTAAGCTTTTGACAATCTGCACTTTGGTTTAAAAGCAAGTGGCAAAAAAGAAACTGAACAAAAAACTTCTGTACCTGAATCTCGCTGAATCTAAGAAAAAAATATTGATAATATGTGTTTTATCCAAAGTTCAGCTAAAAATATCCATTCATTGTACTATAATGTCCTATACTTCTCGATTTATTGTATTTTTGGCGCCTTATAGATTCGTTTCAACGGTTACGTATACCATGCGGGTTTCCCCAACATCCAAAGAGCTAGCAGACTTGCGCAGGCAACGCATCAAGAAAGAAAACTATGTTGGAGAATTTTAACTCAGTTAAAGATACTGACATTAAAACAAAAAAGTATACTGAAATTTCTTTAAAGAATCCCGTAATAAAGCGGATTGGTTATATAGTTGTAATCTAGTAAAATATATTAATAACGATTATGTGAGATTTCATAAATATACGACTGCACTTGCCTGTTTCGGTTCCATTACATTTATTTTCAGTCTTGGTGATGTTGCAGAAAATGGACTATTCCGCAAGTCCAAGAATTTCCATCTGCCATCCATCCAGTAACGAAACTAACACCAAAGACAAGAAGAAATTTTCGCATATCAGGTGAGTTTTACAGTATTTTTCCCCGATTTTCGGTGAAATCGTTGGTTGGAACATCGTTTTCAAATCAGTGTTACACATCATACATAACTAGTGCTTAGCTGCATACACAATCCCCAGCTTCCCAGTTTACATAAATTTTAGAAATAACGGTTGGATTTTTTTCAAGGTCAATATTTGCAGAAAATGACATGTAGCAAAATTAGGAAGGGAAACAGTTTGGTATATTACTTTTACAAATGCCACATCAAGCATTATGGCTGCTATCAAGATATAACGTTTATTGATAGTTTTAACTGTATCCCGTCCATTTATTGATTAGCCTGTAACTGCATTCCGTCCATTTATTGATTATTTAACTGTATCCCGTCMATTTATTGATTATTTAACTGTATCCCGTCWATTTATTGATTAGCCTGTAACTGTAYCCCGTCCATTTATTGATTAGCCTGTAACTGTATTCGGTCCACTCCACTTATTAGTCTGTTATTGTTATTTATTATTAATTATTATTAGTATTATTACTGTTATTTCAACCCTTTTTTCAGCTATTCTGTCTTTGTTGCTGAGCATCCTTTTGTTCTTTTCTTCGCGACTCTTCTCGTTMTCTTCATCTGTTCTTTGTGTGATTTTGTGCCATTGTTCGGAGCTCCAGCCTTTCCTGATTTCTCCACTCCAGTCATGGTATGACGTTATACTAGCCTCATGAATAGCTTCGATATTTTACTTCGAAATTAAGGCTCGATCATGTGTTCTTTTCAGGGATTTGAAGCACGTGGTACGCTCATCAACAAGCGATGGAGGACACGCCTATTTCTTAGTCATGCTGTCCAACGTGACATGTTCTCTCCAGTCCCTCCTGTCACGTCTCTCACCAACACCAAAGTCATGTATGATGTAATGCAAAATTGTCCAAACTTAAATTTTACGACAATTAAGACCAGGATAAGAAAGAGAGCAGAACCGAATTGGTCAGGTGAGAAGAAAAACACAAGAAAAACACAAGGAAGTAATGACTACACGAAGAATGCCAAGCGTGACGCAATTAACGCAAGGATTTCTCGAATGAAACGTGATAAACCTTCTGCATTACGTATGTGTGACAGTCCTAATGTGTATATGAAGTCACGCATTAATTACAAGACCATCTATAAAGCAGTAGATAATCAGAATATGATGACAACTCAACGAATAAAAGCGGTTTGTAGGATGGAAAATAAGGTGATGAGAAGCTTGTCTGGATTTGAAAAGCGTTGTTTTAAGAGAAATATTACTATATCTAATGACATTAAGGAGATATGCTGTCCAAGTTGGTCCCTTGGTAACTACATTGCTGCGCTGAGCTGGAAACCTTCATGTGAAGACATTAACGATAGAGATGTGACGAAAATGACAAAAAGACTCCAAATGTGCTCGGGATTTTTTCACAATAAAACGTTAAAAGAGAACTGTTGGGATTATAACAACGCCGCACCCTTCCCTTATTGCGCAGGTATACCTGTGGAGTGCATTCGCTACAACGCCGTGTTTAATATTTTATATTATCTAACGGACAGA